GAGAAAAAATGGGGGAAAAATCGGGAGAAAATTGGGGAAAATGGGGAAAAAATTGGGAAAAAGAGGGAAAGAATTGGGAAAAATCCAGGGGAAAATGGGAAAAAATCTGGGGAAAAATTGGGGAAAAAATGGGGAAAATATGGGGAAAAAGTGGGAAAAATCGGGGGGAAAATGGGGAAAAATCCGGGGAAAAATTGGGGAAAAAATGGGGAAAATATGGGGAAAAAGTGGGAAAAATCGGGGGGAAAATGGGGAAAAATCCGGGGAAAAATTGAGAAAAAATCGGGAGAAAATTGGGGAAAATGGGGAAAAAATTGGGAAAAAATCAGAAGAAGATTGGGGAAAGATTAGGGAAAAAATGGGAAAAAGTGGGGAAAAAATTGGGAAAAAGCGGGAAAGGATTGGGAAAAATCCAGGGGAAAATGGGGGAAAATCTGGGGAAAAATTGGGGAAAAATCCGGGGAAAAATTGAGAAAAAATGGGGGAAAAATCGGGAGAAAATTGGGGAAAATGGGGAAAAAATTGGGAAAGAATCAGAAGAAAATTGGGAAAAATCCAGGGGAAAATGGGGGAAAATTGGGGGAAAAATTGGGGAAAAAATGGGGAAAAAGTGGGAAAAATCGGGGGGAAAATGGGGAAAAATCCGGGGAAAAATTGAGAAAAAATGGGGGAAAAATCGGGAGAAAATTGGGGAAAATGGGGAAAAATTGGGAAAGAATCAGAAGAAGACTGGGAAAAGATTAGGGAAAAAATGGGAAAAAATGGGGAAAAATGGGGAAAAAATGGGGAAAAAATTGGGAAAAATTGGGGAAAAATTGGGGAAAAATACAGGAAAAAATTGGGAAAAAATGGGAAATAATGGAGAAAAATTGGGAAAAAGTGGGAAAAATATGGGGAAAAATCAGGAATTTTCCGGGGAAAAAATTGGGAAAAAATTGGGAGAAAATTGGGAAAAAATTGGGGAAAAAAAAGGGAAAAAAAGGGGAAAAAAAAGGGAAAAAATGGGAAAAAAATGGGGAAAAAAAAGGGGAAAAAAATGGGAAAAAATTGGGAAAAAAAAGGGAAAAAATTGGCAAAAAATCAGGGAAAAATCCGGGGAAAAATCAGGAAAACATCAGGAGAAAATCGGGGAAAAAATGGGAAAAAATTGAAAAAATTGGGGGGAAATGGGAAAAGCGAAAGGGGAAAAAAAAATCTGGGAATTAAGGGTTGAATTCCTGAAGGAATTTCGGGAATATTGAGGGGAGAAATGTGGGAATTTCGGGAATTTTGGGGGTTTAATCCCGTTGGAATTCCGGGAATATCGATGGGATTTGGGGCCTTAAATCCCGGGAGAAATTCGGGAATTCTGAGGGGGGAAAATGGGAATTAAATCCCGAGGGAATTTTCGGGAATCATCGGGTTTAATTCCCGAGGAAAAATTGGGAATTTTGAGGGGGTTAAAGGGGGTTAAATCCAAGGAAAAATTGGGAATTTTGAGGGGGTTAAATCCAGGGAAAAATCGGGAATTTTGAGGGGGATAAAGGGGGTTAAATCCAGGGAAAATTGGGAAATTTGAGGGGGTTAAATCCAAGGAAAAATTGGGAATTTTGAGGGGGTTAAAGGGGGTTAAATCCAGGGAAAATTGGGAATTTTGAGGGGGATAAAGGGGGTTAAATCCAAGGAAAAATTGGGAATTTTGAGGGGGTTAAATCCAAGGAAAAATCGGGAATTTTGAGGGGGTTAAATCCAGGGAAAATCGGGAATTTTTTGGGGGGAAATCCTGAGGGAATCCCGGGAATCGTGAGGGAAAACCGGGATTTAAATCCCGGTTGGATAACGAGGGATGTGAAGAGAGATAAAATCGCCGGAATTTTGAGGTTAAATCCCGGAAAAAAACCGGGAATACCGGCGGGATAACGAGGGGAGGATCCTGAGGGGATCCCGGGCCTGATCCGGTGTTACCGGGAGGGTCCTGAGGGGATCCTGAGGGGGTCCCGGGATTACCGGAGGGGGATCCGGGGGTTACCGGAGGGGGATCCCGGGCCCGATCCGAGGTTACCGGGGGGGGATCCTGAGGGGTCCCGGGGGGGTCCCGGGGGGGATCCCGGCTCCGGTCCGGGCCCGTTCGGCGCTTCCGGGTGCGGCCCGATGGAGGTGTACGGCAACGCCGGTAAACATGGCGGCGCCCATTGGCGCATTGCGCATGCGCAATAAACCACAAAGCCGCAATGCGGTCTTCTCAAAAATGGCGGCGCCCATCGGGTTTTGTGCGCATGCGCAGCGCGTGGAGCCGTACGGAGGCGGTGAGGCGCCTGGTGACGTCAGCGTCGTGGCTGCGCATGCGCAGAGGAAAAAAAAAAAAAGTTACTTTTGGACCTTCCCGATTCCCAAAATTTGGGGTTTTTTGAGGGGTTGGAAAGTCCAAAATTTTGAGGTTGAGTTGTTGAGCCTCCTCAGAATCTGTGTGAGAGTACATAAATTCCGTGTGAAATGCTAAAAGAGGGTTTTACCGCCCGAAAAGAGGGTCTGTGACCCCCTCTGGAGCCTCGAGATCTGATCCTGGACCCTCCGATTCCCTCAAATTCCCTCAAATTCCCTCAAATTCCCTCAAATTCCCTCAAATTCCCTCAAATTCCCTCAAATTCCCTCAAATTCCCTCAAATTCCCTCAAATTCGGGGTCTGGACCCCCCAATTTCCCTCAAATTCCCTCAAATTACGGGCCTGAACCCCCAAATTCCCTCAGATTCCCTCAAATTCCCTCAAATTCGGGGCCTGAACCCCCAAAATTCCCTCAAATTTCCTCAGATTCCCTCAAGTTTCCCCAAATTCCCTCAAGTTCCTTCAAATTCTCCCAAATTCGGAGCCCGAACCCCTCTGGAATCCCCCAAAGTCGAAACTCTCAAGATCCCTCAGATTTGTGCTCGTGACTCACATTTGAGGCTTTTAAAGGGAGGATTTAAAGGGATATTTTGGGGGTGCAAATCTGGGGGAATTCTGTGGGATTCTGAGGGATTTAAAACTTTAATCGCGTTAATTTTAATTAATTAATTTAATTAATTTAATTTAATCAATCTGACCAATCAGAGCCCGCCGCGCCGGAGAGGGGTGGAGCTTTACGCCCACTCAGCCAATCGCGTTGCGCAATTGAGCATTAACCAATGGCCGCGCGGTTCAGGTTTTGATTGGCAGGGAGCTCCTGAATTCTAACCAATCGAATTGCGGGGCGGGCTTAGAGAGGCGGGATTTTCTGGTGGCTCAGCCAATCAGAACGATCGTAGGGCTTTTCCCGCCGTTTTCCGCTCAGCGCGGGAGCCGCCATGGAGCCTCTCCGGCCTTGGCTCGTCCCGTTCCTGCTGCCCGAGCATTGCTTCGACCAATTTTTCCTGCGCTTTCAACTCCTCGATGGTGCCGGAGGGGTCGCGGGGAGCGATTTTGGGGCTTTTTGGGGCTTTTCTTGGGCTTTTGAGGGGGATTTTGGGGCGTCTTTCAGCGCTGTGGGGGCGGCCGCCATTTTAATTAAGGGCGGGAATTGCGAATGGGCGCCGCCATCTTGGTTGTGGGCGCGGGAAAAAGAACCGCCGCCATCTTTGTTTTGGCTGTGAGGGCGATGCTGCCGCCATCTTTGTTTTGGGTGTTGGGGGAATATTTCAAATTTTGTGGAATTTTTGGAGGGGATTTTGAGGGAATTTTGAAGAAAAATTGGGAATTTTGGCTTCAATTTTTGTTCTTTCTCCGCAGTTCCGTGCTTGAAAATCCTCCTGAGCAAAGTTTTGGGCTACGGCATCGTGGCGGGATCCGTCCTGGGTGAGGGCCTGAGGAGATTTTGGGGGGAATCTGAGGAGATTTTGGGAGGTTCTGGGAGGAATTTGAAGATTTAAAAGTCTCAAATTATTTTTGGGATGATTTGGGATAATTTTGGGTTGTTTTTTTTGGGTTTTTCCCCTCTAAGTGAATCCCGCAGCTGCTGAAGGTTTGGGGGTCCCTGGGGTGAATTTTGGGGTAATTTTGAAGAATTTTGAGGTAATTCTGAGGGATTTTGAGGTATTTTTGAGGTATTTGGGGTGTTTTGGGTTTTTTTTTTGGGTTTTAACCCCATTTCTTCCTCCCAGTGAAAATCCTGGAGCTGCTGAAGGTTTGGGGGTCCCTGGGGTGAATTTTGGGGTGTTTTAAAACAGTTTTTGAGTATTTTAAAGAGGTTTTTGGGTATTTTGAGGGGGTTTTGGGGTATTTTGAGGGGGTTTTGGGGTATTTTGGGGTGTTTTTTTTGGTTTTTGACCCCATTTCTCCCTCGCAGTGAAGGTCCCGCAGCTGCTGAAGGTTTGGGGGTCCCTGGGGTGAATTTTGGGGTGTTTTAAAGCATTTTTTGGATATTTTGAGGTGGTTTTGGGGTATTTTGGAGTGGTTTTGGGGTATTTTGGGGTGGTTTTGGGGTATTTTGAGGGGGTTTTGGGGTATTTTGGAGTGTTTTTGGGGTATTTTGAGGGGGTTTTGGGGTATTTTGGGGTGTTTTTTTTGGTTTTTGACCCCATTTCTCCCTCGCAGTGAAGGTCCCGCAGCTGCTGAAGGTTTGGGGGTCCCTGGGGTGAATTTTGGGGTGTTTTAAAGCATTTTTTGGATATTTTGAGGGGGTTTTGGGGTATTTTGAGGGGGTTTTGGGGTATTTTGGGGTGTTTTTTTTTGGTTTTTGACCCCATTTCTCCCTCACAGTGAAGTTCCCGCAGCTGCTGAAGGTTTGGGGGTCCCTGGGGGGGGGTTTAGGGGCAATTTTGGGGTAATTTTGAAGGATTTTGGGGTATTTTGAGGGGGTTTTGGGGTATTTTGGGGTGTTTTTTTTGGTTTTTGACCCCATTTCTCCCTCGCAGTGAAGGTCCCGCAGCTGCTGAAGGTTTGGGGGTCCCGCAGTGGTGGGGGGCTCAGCCTCCCCTCGGTGCTGCTGGAGCTGCTGGCCCTGGGGGGCTCCGTGGGCTACGGCTGCGCCAGGAGCTTCCCCTTCAGGTTTTTTTGGGGCAAATTCGGGAGGTTTTGGGGTTTTTGGGACGTTTGGGAGGCATCTGAGAGGATTTGGGGGGGTCTGGGAGGGATTTTGGGAAGTTTGGGGAGGATATGAGGGGGATTTTGGGGAATTTGGGGAAGATTGGAAGAGATTTTGGGTAGATTTTGGGTGGATTTTGGGGATCTGAGAGGGATTTTGGGGAATTTTGGGAGGGATTTTGGGGAGTTTCAGGGATCTGGGAAGGATTTGGGAAATTTTAGGGGGATTTTGGGAAGTTTTGTGGGGTTTTTGTGAAGTTTTGAGGGGATTTTGTGAAGTTTTCGGTGAATTTCATGAAGTTTCAGGGTGATTTTGACCCATTTTCCCTTCATTTTCTCCATTTTTTCCCCTCCTGGGGGGTTTTGGGACCTCCCAAATCCATTTTTGGGGGTCCCCGACCTCTCCTGACCCCCCAAAAAATCTCCTCCAGCGCCTGGGGGGAGTCGCTCTTCCTCCTCCTTCAGACCCTCACCCTCCTCTTCCTCATCCTGCACTTCGGGGGCCGCACGGGCCGAGGTTTGTCTGGGATTTTGGGGCGATTTTGGGGGGATTTTGGGGTTTTTTGGGATTTTTGGGACCCCCCCTGAACCTTTTTTGTCCCCTCCCCACCCAGGGCTGGCGTTTGTGGCCGTTTTTGGGGCGTTTTTGGGGGTTTTGGTGTCTCCGCTGACGCCGCTGAGCTTCGTCACCGCCCTGCAGGCCCTGAACCTGCCCATCATCATCCTCAGCAGGGTGGGGGGGATTTGG